TAATGAAAATATAAGTAAGAAAAAAAAATCATAAAATAGAAATAAACAATAAAAGAATAAAATATATTAATAATAGTCATGAGAGATAAGATTTTTAAGGAATAATTGTAAGACACTTATATTCATTTACAATTTAATTGCAGAAAATAACTCCTAAAATTTAGGAAGTAAATTGACATGAATGAGTCGAACATTACAAATGAAAGAGCTGCTACAATTATGAAAACTTTAGAAAACTATATCCAACAAATCAAAGTGATTATTTGAAATATGGGATAAAAAATTCCTAAACTTTTTATTTAAGCATAAAGTGATTAATTGATACAGTATATTGGATCAAATTGAATTAGAAGAGCCATTGAATTTTTCATATTTTGATTCGAAGCAATTTATATGTAGACTAAAAATTTATTTTGATTAAAAATAAAGAAGGGAAAGAACTATCTCGGAATTTTTCACCTAAATAACCAACATTTTACCTCCTAAATTCCAATATACCCAACATTTCACCATATATACCAATCTACCCATGTTTCACGTTTTTTTTTTTTAAATTTGTACAGGGACGCCATGGGTGTTGGAGGCACCCTTATAAATTATAGGGGGCGCCATCCCCTTTGGAGGCACCCAATAATTTATAAGGGGGACGCCATCCCCTTTGGAGGCACCTCTTATGAATTAAATGGGGCGTCATCCCCTTTGGAGCCCCCTTTATTTCATTTAATTTTTTAATTCTAATATAAATAATATAATTAATATTTAATACTATTTTAGACCAAATTTTTTTGTATAAATAGTTAGACTTGTTTCATTCAAATTAACATTGTTTCATCCAAATTTAGGAGAGTGAGTCATGTATCTTAGAAGATATGCACATGTAATTTTTTTCAAGAACGAAGCCTCTGATAAAGATGTTGTTTTGGAACATCCAGAGTTTAGAGCAACTACGAAGAAATTTAAATCGGTGGTTAGAAGGAGACATTCCAAATGGTGAAAGTATTAGGAGTATTGAAAGACTTGTCTCGTACTTCTCTGTTGAAGACGAAAATATACGGCGGGAGTGGGTGCGAATTAGAGATGACAACGCAGTTAGGTCTATGATGTTTGGAACTGATGATATTACTATGATTGTTGTTATATCTTAGTTTATGTTGTAATAATCGTTATATTTTTAATGATTTGCATTGTTGCTCTAGAAGTCTTACAATTTGTTTATGTGGTAATCAAAAGTTGTTATAAATATTAAATTCCAAGGTTACACATTTTTTTAATGACCAAATTAAATCTATCTAGAACTTGTTCCAACATTTGGACAATTATTCCTCGTATGCCCGGGAAGACGACATATTCCGCACAATCTTTCCATTTTCTCAGTTGTATCCATTTCAGTTGTAATTCGCGTGCTTTTGAGGCGGCCCTTTTTGTTTCTTCTCATATTTTCGTTGTGGTAGATTGTGTCTCCATGTTAGGTTGGCCAATATTCCTCACTAGCTACCACTGGAAAACTGTTATTGTAGATACCGAATAAGTTCACGACCTTGTAAACTTCTGATAGTTGCAAGAATGGATCGTGACGAGCACTGGAACATGCGACAATGACATGTGAACAAGGTATGCGGAAGGTTTGAAACTTTCCGCAGTCGCACCAATTTTTATGAATTTCCACCCTGTAGTGTCCCATTAGCCGACCTTTGTTGTGATCCATTGTCTCATCAACAATGAAGTTGTAATCGTGACGATCAAATGGTCTAACTCGATGTGAGGCCGCCTTAGAAGTTTCATCCTTCATATATTTCATACATGATTCGCTGAATATTTGACCTGATTCCAAAACAGCGCTCCATTTTTTGCCTCTTGCCACAAAAAGTGACCTCAATCTGTAATAGGTTGCTCTTACCAACGCAATGATGGGGAGGTTCCTAGTTCCCTTAAATACGTCGTTTAGGGATTCTACAAGATTTGTGGTCATGTGACCCCATCTGCATCCTCCATCAAAAGACCTTGTCCATTTCTCGACTGGAATGCTATCCACCCACCTTAATGCTTCCGCGCTTGACAATCTTATTTCTTCGCGGTAATACATGAACGATGGTTGGTTTAAGGCATACCCAGCGTTCACAACTTTTTTACGGAGATTTTTGTCTTTCATTTCCCGCATAAAATTCTGAGCAATGTGTCTTATGCAGTAGACATGAACAGAAGGAGGGTTGTGCCAACCATTAGCAGGATTGTTGTAGGCGCTCACAATAGAGGCATGTCTGTCGGAAATCATACATAAGTTGGGTTGTGGAGTGACATGTGTTCTAAGATTTCTGAGGAAGAAACTCCAAGCTTCACCTGTCTCACGCTCGACCAGGGCAAAGGCAATCGGAAATATATTATTATTTTCGTCTTGTGCAACCGCCATCAACAATGTTCCTTTGTATTTTCCATACAACCATGTTCCATCGACTTGAATAATCGGTTTGCAGAATGCAAAACCTTTGATATATGGTTGAAATGCCTAAAAGAGACGAGAGAATATCCTACTTCCATCAACACATGTTCCTTCAGGAGTGTATGCTGGTAGTGACTCCAATATTACAACCGTACCAGGAACATATTTTTGAAGTGCTAGTAAATACTGTGGAAGTTGATTGTAAGATTTTTCCCAATTCCCATATACATGTTCAACAACTTTTATTCTTCCAATCCAAGCTTTTCTGTACGATGGGGTATAGTTGAACCGTGCAACAACATGAGAGATAATTGGGCTCACCTTCACAGATGGATCTACGCCCACAAGATGCAAAATCTCTTGGGATATCAATTGAGAGCTTAGTTTTCCATGATCTTGCCGATTGATGTTGGTTGTGCAACTATGAGGTGGATCCATCGAACCTATCTCCCAACAATCACTTCTTTTCCGATAGGACGCTGCTAACCGAAACTTGCAACCTGCATTACGACAAACTACGACATAGCGTTTTGAGTCGTTCTGATTGATGTAAAAATCAACGAAGTTATCCATATGAAACTATCTTATAGCTTTCATGCACTCTTCTTTTGTTCGGTACTGGTTTCCCACTTTCAAAACACCTTCAATTTGTTGAGAAGGATTGTAGAAAACATCTGAGGAAGTATCGTCTCCACTCAATTGCAAGTTCGTCATGTGTTGGAGAGGACAATACATATGACTTAATGGTAGTGTCTCCTCATCTATGTCTTGAAGCGAAGTTATTGCAGTGTAGTCCCCAGTCCCGAACAAATTAACCATTTGATCAACCATGGCCTCAGGTTCTTCTTCCTCCTCGTCCACAACATCAACTTCATCTTCATCCGTTGTTTCACCAACTTCATGTTGAGTCTGGCAGAGTAATAGATAAACCTCGATATAGTCGAACCCAGAGTGTTCATGACTATCAAACATTTAATCTACATCGTTGTCGTCTTGTATTTTCTCTTGAAAATACTTGACCTGATTGTTGTCAAAGAAAACAGGACTTCTTATATGATTTGAGAGATTGGACCAGACAATATCTTCGACTCTATTCGCTCTTTGAAATGCAAAAAAATTGATTTTCTACTCATTGTTAATCGGGTAACATCTGTATTTTGAAACCCAAAACCCGAATCCTCAGAGATGTAAGTGTCTCCATTAAAATGGGCATGAACAATATAATTTGTTGTTCTAGACATATTTGAATAAAAGTGTAAGAGACGTGTTTGCATAAAATGAGATGTATTTAATTTTTTCTTGAATGTATACATATATAACAAAAGTGCACGAATAAAATATTAATAAATGGTAAAGAGAGGCGCCATAGGGGTTGGCTCCCCTTCTTTAAAATTAAAGGGAGGCGCCATAAGGATTGGCTCCCCTTCCTTAATGTTAAAGGGAGGCGCCATAGGGGTTGGCTCTCCTTGACATGTGTACGAAAAGTGATATTTGCATGCATGCAGAATGACAAGTGTGGAAGATTTTCTACACAATTCAACCATCTCATTTACTTCTCTACACATCAATCAATATTTCAACTACACAAATTTAATTTTTCATTCTACCATAAATTCAAAATTTAAAATTCAAATTCAAAATTTTTACTATAAATACTTCTCCTCCTCATTGTCAAAAACTCATCAAATATTTTCTTCATATATTCACACTATATTTTCTTCATATATTCACACTATATAAGAAATGTGTCTGTTAACATTGGGCGAAATGCATAGAGGAACACCAAGCAACATCGCGTCTTATGTAATTAGTTGTACCCGATAAATATTACACAATGTTGTATTGATTTGTAACATTCTACTATTGTTATAAATATAATGTTGTAATGATTTGTTTTATTGATTTGTAGAATACTCATGACTTTCGTACTCGTGGGTATAAACATTTTCCACACGACCCGATAATTCAACCATATTTGGCGCACGTAGGATTTGGAGAGGTCATCAAAATAAAAAATTATCTCCTTGATACCAAGTTCATTTTAGCACTTCAAGAAAGGTGGCGACCCGAGACGCATACATTTCATCTTCCAATAGGTGAATGTGTTGTTACCCTTGAGGACACTTACATGTTATTGGGTTTACCCATTAATGGTAAGGTGGTAAACGGTCTCACCAATCCTAGCGGTAGTGTGATAGAAGAACTTTTAGGGGTTGAACCAACCCCAAGAGATTTGAGGGGCAAAAAAAATATTATTATCATGACTCAAAATTTTTTTTAGAGAGATGAGGTTAACCGAGATTCTCCAAAAATTTTGAAAATTAGAAAAACAAAAATTTATATTATGTTACTAATAAGTTTATTTTTATGTCCGGATACAAGTGGTAACGCTGTTCATCCTATGTATTTAGTTTTATTAGATGATATAGATAAAATAAGAACATATAGTTGGGGGTCTGCTACACTAGCACACATATATCGGTCTTTGTGTAACAACGCAATAGCAAATTCGGGAAATTTTACCGGATGTGGTGTTCTTCTTCAAGCTTGGGGTTGGTCAAGAATGACCAATCTAGCACCTATCCAACAAAATAATTTCGAATTCCCATACGCTACAAGGTAATTACTTAGACCAAGAATGACCAATCTTTCATAGTCTTTTACTTAATTAATTCTATTATTAACAAATATTTTCTTTTAGGTGGTCTTCACTTGGGATGAATTACGACAACTGTCCCCATTTCAATATCACCCAGTACAGAAATCTTATAGATCATTTGGGTCAAGATGATGTAAGTACTAAATATTATTAGAATATAGTCTCCTTAACCTACCTATTTAGAATATAGTCTCCTTAAATATTATGAGAAAATACTAAATATTATTTTTTTCTCCTACAGTTTATTTGGCGGCCATATCTTGGTCTAGAAGCCATTCATGAAGTTAACCAACACGACTCTGTAGTGTGGAGTGCAAAGGTGCCGATTATCAACTTCACCACCGTGGAGATGCACAACAGTGATCGTGTCAAACTTCAGTTTGGAATGCTTCAAGATATTCCATGTCTGCCAAAATGCATCCCCGACAAATATCACACCGGTAAAGTCTCCGACCAATGGGAATATTCTCCATGGACCAAGTATGCAAAACATGAGTGTCGTGAATGGAGGCATCGCAGCCATTTTGTTTTGTCCGACACTGTGTTTACATACGAGAGAAAACAGTCTATCCAATACATGAATTGGTATAGGTCGGTATCCATTGGTTTCATTTCACATCCAAGATATCTTGTTGACCCACGCCAACAAGCCTCATCATCAAGACCCCAACAACCTACCCAACCCCATTTCCAACCGCCAACCCAAACCCCACTCACACAACCACAAATCCATGAACACGCCCCTACCCAATCCACCCCATTCACACAAACTTATTCACAGTCCCAATACCAACAATATCCACCACCATACCAAACACACTCCTGTGATACAACAAACCAATTTATCATACACCCAATCAACCCTTACCCATCCAAACATTTACACCCATGTCACCCTACGATCAGGCAGGCTATCGTCCTGAAATTGCCTCATCGAGCCAACCACCCCAACATAATTATGAAGGCATGAGCAACCCTTTTAATTTGGATGACTTTGCGGAGATGGACTCGTCTTCATGGGCCGAAATGATCCAATTTCTTGAAGACGACACGGTGGACCAAACTTCACCACAAAGACCACCAAGAAATGTACGTAATCGAGGATGCGGTACGTGCGGACATTTACACCGACCTAATCGTAGAAATTAGTGTACCATATCTCTCATATGTACCCATTTGTGATTAAATGGAAATTTTAATTATTATTTAATATTTAATTTATTAAATACAATTTTATTTTTATTTATTATTTGGAAATTATTAATGAAAATATTAGTTATTATTTATTTATTAATTGTTAACAAATATAAATATTATTTAGAAATTCTTATTTATTAAATATTTTTTAATTATTAAATATTATTTATTAAATATTTTAAAACATATTAAATATTAAAAATTAATTTGAAAAACTCATAAGGGGTGTCTCCAAAGGGGATGACGCCCCCCTTATAAATTATAGGGTGCCTCTAAAGGGGATGGCGCCCCCTATAATTTATAAGGGTGCCTCCAACACCCATGGCGCCCCTGTACAAATTAAAAAAAAACGTGAAACATGGGTAGATTAATATATATGGTGAAATGTTTGGTATATTGGAATTTAGGGGGTGAAATGTTGGTTATTTAGGTAAAAAATTCACTATCTCGATATAAAAAAAATTAGATAATTAAATTAATTATGAAAATTGAGTTCCATTAATTTTGATTAAACATGAAGAAGGAAAAAGAAGCAATATGAAGAAGAAAAAAAAACTACCCTGACATAAATATAAAATTATTGAAAATTGATAGTAATAAATAAAATAGCTAAGGGCATCTTTAGTGGGAGTAAACTAAATAGGTAAACTAAGATATTTTTTGTGGGTCCAAAGTGATTTGTAGGATTTAAAAAATTTAAAGTTGATTTGAGTAGTTTTTACTTTAATGGTGGTTGTCTATAAGAAACCAAAACTTGACCCCACATGGTATTAAATGGTTAGTAAAAATCTATTATTTATGTTAAATAATTAATAAAAATCTATTATTTATGTTAAATAATGAGTTAGAGTACGTAAACTAGTTTTAGAGCATCCCATATGCCATGTCAGCACTACTATAATGCAAATTCCTTATTACTAACTTAAGCTATAAAGAATTTTGGTTTAACAACCCTGCACTAAAGTTGCTCTAATAAGGTGTGTTAGAAGTTAAGGGTCTGTTTGGTTCAAATGAGGGGGAGGGGAGGGGAGGGATTTTAATGAAGGGGAGGGGAGGGGAGGGGAGGTGAAGGAATTTTTTAATCAAATACGTGTTTGGTTCAAAAGAGAGGAGGGGAGGGGAGGGGAGGGATTTTAATTAAAAATGTGTTTGGTTCAGAAGGGGAGGGGAGGGGTTTTATTAATAATTTACATTTTTATCCTTATGATCTTATATAAGTCATATGATATTAAAATGTGAAAAATTCGTGCGTATTTTTGTTGGTAATAAAATTTATAATATTGAGTGATTAAAAAAATACTTATTTGTCACATAAAGTTAAAAAAATTGAGTACAATCGATTCGACTTATAACTTTCCAACATAAATTAAACTATATGTCAATAACATTGTTTAAATTGTGATGAATCATATAACAAAACAAATATATAAAATAACTTATTACTAAATATTAATGGTTCAAAATATTTAATAAAATGAATAAACAAAAATAAATAAAATGATATGGTTTACAATTTGATATAAAAGAAAATATGATAGAGTACATAACAAAATTAAAAGAAAAAAAAACGAATATAACGAAACATAATTTTTTTAATAAAAAAAGACAATGATTATGATTTATATTAATTACAAAAATTATAAAATAATTTGAAGGTGGAGAACAATTATAATAAGTTGATGAAAACAATCGAGAAAAAACAGTAACACAAAAGATAACAAATAGTTTTGAAATAATAAAATTAAACTGAGGATATTTTAGTAAATATAATAATTTGTTAATATCAAAAGTCATATTCCCTCCCCTCCCCTCCAAATTCCCCCAATTCGGAGGGAACCAAAAAGTGTGTTTTGGAGGGATTTTGCTCCCCTCCCCTCCCCTCCCCTCCCCTCCTAAATTTTGAACCAAACATATTTAATTAAAACTTTCCCCTCCCCTCCCCTCCCCTCCCCTCCATCTACCCCGAACCAAACACACCCTAATGGAATGAGTGGGGGAGTTAATGATAGTGTCGAATAGTAGAAATGAAAAGAGGGAATGAAATTAAGTATTTAACCATTTAATTAATTAATTATTTATTTATTTATTTATTTTAATTTAATTAATAGAATATACGAGGTTATATTATTTTAAAGGGTTTGTAAAAAATTAAGTGGATGAAATAGTGGGAATGAGATTATTGATTATTGAAGAGGTTATTAAAAGTTAAGTGGATGAAATTGCGGGAATGGGATTATTGATTATTTTGATAATTTAACTTAAATTACTAATATTTATTTTATTTTTAATTAATTAATTGATAATGTGAAAATAAATGGGACATGGAAAATTAATGGGATGAATGAGGAGTTAATGATAATGTCAAAAGGTATAGAAGCTTGTGTCCTTGGGGCACATGTTAAGAACTAAATTAAAAAACATTATCTTGGAAATTGTGTATAAACTTTAATTAAAGTATAAAATTAATTTTTAAATCATTTTTTCCAATGCAAATTTATTACAAGTGTTTTTCTTAACATGTGCCCCAAGGGTACAAGTTAACATTACCCATTTTTTAATGACAATGAGGAGTTAATGATAACGAGGAGTTATGAATGATGAGTGAGAATGAAAAGAGGGAAGAGGATTATTAATTAATTGATAATTTAATTTATTAATTGTTATTTTTTATTTTCTATTTAATTAATTAATTAGTGATGTGTAAATAAGTGTTTTTTAGTTATTTTTTATTTTATTTATTTATTATTATGAAGTTTTGGTTGAAATTTTGGCAAAAAAATTTTTGTTGGAGAAGTTATAGAATTATAATTTAGTATGATTTTTATCTAATATTTTTTTTTTTGAACTGATGATAAAATTAACTCATTCAATCACTCTATTGCATCCGTTAAAAAAATTATTAAAAGAATAAAATTTCAAAATTCTTTTAAAATATATTTTGATATCAACACATGAAAGTTATTTTTAAATTAATCAACCATATCATATGACATATATTGTAAATGGTTATTATTTTTATATATTTTAAATAGATTTTATTAATCAATTAACATAAACAATTATTCTAAAAGTTATTTTTTAAAAAGTAAATAATTAACTATAACTATATAAATATAAAATAAAAAATTGTGGCCCTAAACCATAGCTTTGTTAGAGTTGCCACCTGTCCCATGGGTCCACTTAACTGCTGAAATTCAAATTTATTCTCCCCTATTGTTGCCTCCGGCCGCCCTTCACACCGTGCTGGCCTGATATCTCCACGCACGCGGCAGCCTTCACCACCGTCCTCCGTACCACGCCGCGCAGCTGACAACAACCTTACGAGTCCTTCACTTCGCCCCCACTAGCAGTTCAGTTCACCCACATCCTTCATCTTTCCCATCCCCTGTTTAAGAAACTTCATTGGTAGGGTTTTGTCAAAGCTTGAATTTCCGATTTTTTATATAGCTCTAATTACATTAAATCGATTAATTGTTTATAGAATTGAAGTTTTGAATAATATATTTGTGAAATCATTGTTAGTTTTATTTTATTTATTTATTTTTTTAATAAGGCCAACATTGGAGGTTCCTGTGTCTGAACTCTGAAATGTTTCTAGCATCAATTCATGAGTAAAATTTGTTTCTTATTCTTTAAATTTATTCCGCATTCCGTTTTTTCAATGGAGCATTTTTGTGCTTGTGCTTTGTAGTGATTTCACTGGTTTGTTAAAGATCAGGTTTGTTCTTACTTGACAATCAACCATTATATGTTGCTTAAAAATTAATTTGGCATATAAATCTCAATGATGATAGGTAGGGCTAGAAGTAAATGGGGGTGATCAAGGATGGCACAATCTCTGGAGTCCTACCGGAGCCTCATGGATTTCTGGTGCACTATCCTGGTTATCCATCCTCAACCTCTCGTGCTATTGACACATTGGGTGGAACTCAAGGCATCCTTAAGGTACTTAGTAAGTTTTGTTAAAACATATTATGATTCACATATTTTTTTCTATGCTGATTATAGTTATGGCCATGCTCGTAATCTGTAGGCTCGCAGTTCACAATCAAACCGATTAGAGCTTAGGTTCCGCCCTGAAGACCCTTATTCTCATCCTGCATTTGGGGAGCATCGTCCCACTAATGCTTTGCTTCTGAAAATATCCAAGAAAAAAGCTCCTGATGATGATGGGGCCAAAGCTTCTAATAGCATTTGTGGAATGGAGCATGGGATGCAAGAAAATCATGTAGAAAGTGAGCACGGAGCTGCTGATATAGTAGATGAAAAGGAAAATCTATGTGCTGATATTGTTGCTCATGTTCCCGAGGCTTATTTCTTTGAAGGTTAGAATTTAGAAACTTGAAATGGAATTGATTTTGGTGATTTGATGTAGATTGATTACCTTTGTGAACCTCCTGAACAAATTTATGTTTTTATTTTCACCAATTATGAAGGAATGGTAGACTACCAGTATGTTGTTCCTGTCCATGCGGATGTTGCAAAGAGGAAGAAGAGAAATTGGTCAGAACCAGAAGAAACACATTTAGGTGATTATTTTGTTTCATTGTTTCTGTTTCTTTGACTCAATTTTTGAAGTATGTTTAATGGCAGTTTTACGAAGGTAATGATTTGTGTTTGTATGCTCTCTTAGCTAAGGGAAGTCGTATAGATGTGGATCATGAAGACATTATGATCATAGTGCCTCCGATTTTTTCTCCAAAAGACATGCCAGAAAACTTAGTGTATGTTTCTCAAACTGTCATTTAGTGATCGATCACTCACTTATTTAGA